AACTCCACGGAGTGAGTTTTCAGATAGTTAAGAGCGGCAGTCTCGGAGAACGAAGACATATTATGATGTATATTCTTGCCTGCAACGCCGGGTTTGAGACATTAGTACGTGTCGCGCGTGCGACTTGCGCGCGCACGTGCACGCTCATTCATTTCACCCTTCTTTAGTCCGTGAGACACACACACACACACACACACACACACATACACGCACACGCGTATGCACAGATGCACACCGCCACCGGCTATTTCAATCATTCGTTTTAATTTATAACGCGTTTTTCTGCGTGAAACTCGATACGGAAGAAGTAGTGCTCTCGAATGTCTCACACATTTATGAACGTATTTCATATTAATTTATTCGATATTTTCTTTCTCGCAATTTTACGCGTATATTTGGTATGCTATATATTAGATTTTTATCTGTGAGTACGTGTGTGTGTGTGTATTTTATAAAATTTTGAAAATTTCTAATATTTTTTGATGTGGAATAAATTAAAATCATTTGCGCGGCTCGCAGGGTGACGAGTCGATTGCAAAAGAAATAATCAAGAAGATAGATCGAACTAATATCGAAAGTCTCACTGTGTTAATGTGCAATACGTACTCTCGGCGATCTCGAAGCTCTGAAACTTTATTGGCTGCGCATAATTTATCATCGACGAGAGCCAAGGATGGCACGCCATGGTGCTGCCCGAGTACTGAGTTGCCTGCACTTCTTCGGTACCTTCCTCGCCTTCCTGCATAACGAAGGATATGTCGTACAGATAATCCGGCAATTCCGAAGTCGAAGTAGAAAAAAATAAAAATCGAGAGAGACAGTGAGATTTAAGTTTGGTCCTCCTGCAAATTTGACGACATGATTAATCACCTTCGGCGGCTCAGGAGGAGGAGGTGCGGCGGCCGCGCTGGCATCCTCTGTCACCTCGTCTTTGGCCTCGAACTGCCCGGCGCGGAAGAGCTCGAGCTCAACCTTCTCTACTTCCGGCTTCAGTCGCTTATTCTTGATCAGGATCTTGCGTTTCAGCAGGCTCGGCGGCGGAAGAATAGATCCCGGCTCGAGCTGCGGCGCGAATGCATTTCCGACGATTGATCTCACACGATTGATTTCAATTGGCTCATCGGACGCGATCATCGTCGGCCGTATTACTCACAGGATAATCTTTCAGCGGCTCCTTCAGCAACAGATCGCCCAATATCTCGTCGCAGTACTTGGCCAGCTTGTATTGTTGCTTCAGGCAGCAGTGATTCTCGAAGCTTAAGATAATCGGATAATCGGACGTGACGAACGCGGTATCCCTCAATGCATAGATCACGTCCTTGAACAGGATGTCGGTGCACATGGCTTTACCGTGGGTGATGATGGGTTCCTCGTCCTCGCCTTTGCCGTCCCAGCAGTCCAGCTCGACGCACCTGCGGTTAAAATATCGTACAGTCATTCCGTCAGGCCCGATTGGAGGAAAATTGCGTCACCTGCAACCGGCGAGCAGAACTTGTCGGTACATCTCGACGGTGCTCTTGCCGCCGATCTGACGGCCGCTCAGATAAGTGTTGTGGCTGGAATTGATGTAATAATGCGAGAGCGGCTGTTCCATGTCCATCCATTCGTCCAGCTTATCCAGGAACACCGGCGCGTTCTCATCCGACATCAGGTATCGTATGAAACCGTCCTTCGTCAATTTTTCTACGCATTCGTGATATAAATATCAAATAATCTCAAATAATATAACCCTTAATTTGATGATTTTGAAATTTCCAAAAGTCAGTAAGTTAACAAAAGTCAGGGCGCTATTGTAACAATATATTCTTGAGACTAAGAAATAAAGCAAGAAAGTCGAATATCGATTTTTCTTCTGACAAATAGTTAGCGAGATATCGTAAGTTAAATATTGAAAAAATTATCAAGTTTTTCTCAAATATCTCAAGAAATATCAGGCAAATAATAAAAAAATATTTTAGACAAAAGTTGTTCAAATTAATTGGTAGAAAAAAAACAGTGTAATAAAAAAATAAGGATTCCCATTTAAAAAACGCAAGTTGACCTCCAAATAACCTTGAAGGCCACGGCCAAGGTCAAATTCAAGGTCATCATCAAGTCCGTTACTCAATTTTCTACAACTTTTGTACTTAAAGTTTTTCATGAAAACTTGATCCTGCAAAGTTATCGGGGGTTCCGGTATTTTTAAGACACTTCATATATGAAATCTATATAAGATTGTATGTGTAAGATATATATATATATATATAATTGTTCTTATAGAGGTCTTGTATACATGTATAATTTTATTTATATGAGAGAGATTATATGTAAAATATAAATGTGCCGATACGAAGAGAGATGATAAAGTAATATATCGCGGAACTCACTCTCCTCCTTCGCTTTCGCGTCCGCTTCGTATTCATTGATGATTTCCGTGCATCTTTTCTCGTCGTACAAAGGATACAGGATCTCGTTGAGTCGAGGATCTCTCTGCTTTGCATTCATAAATTCCACCAATTGCAGCAAGCTTATGGCGTCGGATTTTCCCTTCGTACTGTGAAACGACGTTTGGAATTAGAGGTCGCCTTGCACAATAGGATCCCGTCGAATACTCACATCGATTGGAAAAGTTCCTCGATGTCGTTCCTAGGACAGATCTTGAAGTACAAGGTGTAAAATTTGTCGAAGGTGAAAGCCTCTGGCTCTATTTTATCGTTCTAAAACACGAGGGAGAAAAACAGCGTTTTCGCATACGTACATCTGTGTCTGTGTGCGCGCTGTGTGTCTTTTGCTGATCTTTTCTTCTAATAATCCGATGATGTCGGATTTCTGTAACAATCTGTGTTTCTAAATTTTCGAACCTTTGAATGGATACTAGCAATAAAGTCATCAGTAGTCACGATTTGTTGACTGAGTCGGTGACGATTTTCGCAATTTTCTCGAGTGATCTCTTTATTGTCTGCACGGCGATTAAAATCCTTCGAAATTTCCCGTTAAATTCCACTCACCTTTCCACTGGGCAAACCGAGCTCCGCTAAACCCTGATAAACGAGTTTCTCGGTCTTCCCCGAAGCAAAGGTCTTTGATATCACCTTCACCGGGACCTTTCCCTTCGGATCCACTTGGAAACTCAGCCGCATCCAACTAGCAGATTTAATAACCGCCGAAATTTTCATCGAGTGATCAAAGGAAAGAAACAGAGAGCGTTAGTGTTCGGAGATCCGCTATATGTTTCGCTTTTCCTCGCGGAACATGAAATTAATGAGTACGTACTGCTTCATAAGCTGCGTGGTCGGACAGACGTTGCAAGCTTTTGTGTTGTGCGTAATTAAACGCAAGCCTGCTTGCCAATCCTGAGTTGATTAACCGGATTACACGTGAGAACAGAAGCAGAGCATATAAAAAAGGTAGCTTAATTAACGATAAAGCAACACACGCGTAGGATTAAAATAAGCATAATTAATTACAGCAGAGGAAATTAATTGTGAAACAAAGAGGGAACCTGCAGGGGAGAGGACGAATATGTAAGTAGATGTGAACAGTTAGATGAGACGTCAAAGTGTGAATAATTTCGTCTTGATCGCAAGCAGATTCGGGTGCGCGTGATTAATGGAATGGCACTCGATGACTTTCTAAGATTTCTATTTGCACACTTTCAGCCGCGATTTCCTATAATTCCCAGCTCGTTGCGTACCTTGGCCGTCTGCGCGTCCGGACATACAATGTGCTGATAGTTGATATTCGTATAGTCCACCCCGGAACATATCGTTAAGCTCTTCTCGTCCAATTGCTCTAACGTTCCGTGTTTGCTCAACTTATTGCATAACTTTGGGTCCTAAATCAATCGAGGGAATATTTTCTCTTTTACATCGGTATTGCCTGGCGCGAATGCACTCGACGCAATTTAATTTCTTTTACAATCCTCATTCTCGAATTTTTTTCAGATTTACCTTCGGCGTGCCGCCGTAGCGAATGTCGCTCACTTGAGCCAGTTCTATCACCTCCCCGTCCTACGGAAAACACTGAGAGTTACCTGAGCGCGATTCGCATTGGAGATCAACAGCGGGACGATATTTATTTAATTTCGGTGCAACAACTCGGGAGAAAAATGGTTATATGTAAATTGTGAATAATTATTTATAACACACACACACTCATACACATAAATTTCATCTCTATGTGGTCACATATACAATTACGTATATATGTAAAGAGTTTCGCGCAATTAAACGTCATCATGATCCGTGAGAAGTATAAGCGAAGAGAAAATTTACATGTAAATATTTTTCCCCGAAAAGATAGAGAGAGAGAGAGAGAGAGAGAGAGAGAGAGAGAGAGAGAGAGAGAGACCGTAACGCGCGCAGTTAGTCTACCTTGCCGTCGCTTTTCCAATAGATGAAAAACCCATACTCGTCAACTTTGAACATGCAGTTCGGCTCGTACTCGGTCGTCTCTTTGTCCTCGAACCATCGGTCGAATACCGCGCCCTTTATCAACAGCTCCGGCACTTCTATGCGCCAATTAAATTCGAACTTCTTTGTCATGGTACGGCAACTTTAAGCGGAACGCCGCCGTGGTAACTCGAACTCGACGTGAACTTGGGCCTGCTCAGCGCCCGAATGAACGGCCGCCACCGCGACGGAACTTGTGCACCGGCGACGCATAATGCAATTAGTTATATCTAATTTGCCGCATGAGGATTTCAATAACGATCGAAACCCGTCGCGTTACGGCACGGGATTCCGAACTTACGTAAGCGCGCGCCGCGGTGAAACCACGGGCGTGTTATGGTCGTCGCGTTATGCTCGATAGTCAAACGCGCGCAAAATCGCATGCGAATGATTGTTATTACGAGGAGAATCGAGGAGAGAAAGATCGCATCGGCATTTACACGGCGCGTGGTTCGTCTCGATGATGGAGCAACGCGAAATGCCGAAAAATCAGGATTTCTCGCGCGAAACGAAGAGCCGAGAGATCGGACATGGGATCGGAGGGGGGAGACATGCAAACACATTTTCCTCTTGGACGAGATACGTAATAATTTATTAAACTTACTGTCAATACAATGTAATCCTACCTTGTATCAGTGCTTGGTCTATGGTCTATCACACGATGATGGCGAAAGATTATTAATATGATTACTTTACAGGAAGTAATAATATTAGTGCGTAACGTGTACTTTCTTACATTAATGACTCTCGCGACTAATTATCGTATTTATAAGGAGCTTTATAAATAATGGAATGTTGATAGTCTCGCGACAGAGCTGCTGTGATGACTGACGATGTAAGGTACGCGTGTTCTTCTTTCTTCTTTAATTCTTTCCCTTTTTCTTTCTCGTTAAATCTTGTCTCGTGTAGGTACGGTTAAGTATAAACTGTAGAAAATGGAACGCTCGCCCTGACGCGCTGCATTATCACATTTGAGGCTTCAGCAGGTAATGCGAATTTAACGGTATGGAAGTGTTCATGTCGACTTGGGATTCCTTTTGTACGTCCTCCTCCAGGTTATGCATGGGCTCTATGCAATATTCCTGCCCGCACACCTTGCATGCCTCAAAATGCGGTTTGATGGAATTTTTTAGTCTCTGCGAGAAAACGAAATTTCCCTGCCATTAATTCCGACAATCGCCACGGCACACTCCACCGGTGTATAAATATCGATTTTGAGAAGAAAATATGAAGCGCGAAATTACATTTTATATTCGTCGTACAGAATATTCGATATATTTCTTTGCATTAGAATTGTTGCTACCGTAAGCGGTTTATCAAAAAAACAAAAAAAAGAGAGAGAGAGAGAGAGATTTCCTCTTGTGACGTAGATATTGTATATGTATTTTTCTTTCACGATAAAATAATAAAATCTCTCATATGGCAGGTGAATAAGTAAGATAAGTGTGTGAATATATTAAATCAACAGTGCCCGGTCTGCGGCGATGCTAGAAATCCGAGCAATGGCAATGAAACTTGACGTACCTCGGCAAACGTGATGCCATCCGCTCTGGCGAGTACGCAAACGGCAAAAGCGGGAATGCAAATCAAGGAGAGAGACGCGATGCCCCATCCGATCGCCTCTGCCCACCATGGATATATGTAGTCGCCATTGTGGTAGGTTGGCGGCTCATAATCAATTAAGCTGAACACCCATACGGCCTGCAAGGAGACAGAAACGATAAGGACGCGGCCCGCTCTCCTCAAGATCGCTGACCGCGTCGTAAGTGATGCGTAACGAGCCGCGCGATTGAGATTAACTGCCGTACTGATTACATTCTACGAAATAAATTGATCGTGCGGTACATTCACGAGACAGTGCAAAAGCTCAACTGACGATCGAGTCGAGTCGAAAGACTCTCGATAATCGAGAGGAGTGCAATCGTAAGGATTGTGATCTTTGACACGCGTTGATCTTTCACCTGGTTTCCCCAACTCCTCGTTGCAAGCGATTAGTCAGGTGCAATTAATTAATCTCTCACGTAATTTGATGAGATACGGTGGTATCGTAGAAAAGTACAAACTGTCCCAATCTTTGCTCAATATCTCCCATTCTGCTTAACACGCTCGCTACCAAAGTCGCGACGTGGAGAGAATCTCCCAAATAAGTCGTGGTAGCAGACGTGACGAAACCCACCGATACGGTCCCGATCTCACCATTATGAGGAGGGGCGCTGCGAGGAACCAGCAGAAGCGGAAGTACACCGACGGCAGGCGGCCGGTCATCTCCTTGACGTTGTTGCAGAGCCGACGCACGCCGTAGAGCCAAGAGATGGCGATTATCTCGAAGAATGCCAAGAACATGATGGACATGGACGCGGCATAGTGATCTATCAGTTGGAAAAAGTAAATACCACCCTGAGGCAGTCACGAGGTGTCACTTAGTGGTGGACAGGTGTACGGTTGCGAAACACAAGCAGAAACGTCGCATCGTTAGCTCTACCTGCGTGATATTCGGCAGCCCGAAGAGAAACGAGACGACGCATATCAGCAGGACCAGTATCTCGTGACAGAGAAGATGCCTCTTCACCCAGTTCGGAAAGCCGTCCTGGATCGACGTGACGACCACCTCCACCACGGCGAACTGAAATCCGAAAGAGGTTTTGCGCAACCGCCGTGAAAACATTGCAAAACGCCGGGCTCTCTCGCGGTCCCCGCGGTAGAAAGTTCGTGAAACGCCGCCTCGTATCCGCGATTTGCATTCCGGATTGAGCAACAATCGCGCGTCGCGACCTCCGATCTCGAATTTGTTTTTGTTCTGCACGCGCGACTCCAATATGTTATTAAATATGCGGTCCCTCTCTTCTCCTCCTCCTTCCCTCCTTCTCTCCCGTGTGTCATATATTAGCGACGGTGAAGTTCCACGTTTATTTGCCCGCCGATTTGCAATCGAATATGCACACTCGCATCGCACATCGGAAAGGACCTGTGTGCCTTCCTCCACGCAGCGTGTACTCACTTGGCTGTTCAGCGAAAGGCAAACCAGCATGAAGAAGAAGAGCACAGCCCAGAGCTGAGAAGCCGGCATTTTGACTAACGCTTGCGGATAAATTACGAAGACTAGTCCAGGTCCTTGAACACAAAAATTACAATTTATCGACAAAATGTCGATAGAACGCGCAAGTTAAACCGCCGATGCAGAGCAGAGAACGGGAGGGGGAAGGTATTAGAAAAAATTGATAAACAAATGGAGCAAGAAACTCGCGACACATGAGGTGATCTTAACATGTTAGGACATGTTGGTTTCCTCATGATATACTTCAGGTATCCGACGCTGCTCGTACCGTCAGTCAGAACGTCCTCGACGGATGTGTTCTGCTCCAGCGCTATGTTGCCGATCGTTGCGAACGAGAAGATGCCGACCAAGAGGCTGCTAAAGGCGTTTATGAGCGATACGGCGACGGTGTCCACCAGGATCGTGTTGTGGAATCTGTTGTAGCTGGCGAAGCAGATCATCGATCCGAAGGCGATGCCCACAGAATTGAAGACCTGCGCCGCGGCGTTGATCCACACCTAATGGCGAGTTGTTGAGGTCAGATTTAATGCGAAAACCCCTGGGCGCTTCCCGTCATCGAGACAGAAACCGCCGCCGACACGTCGAAAGTGGGACCTTTGAAAGTCTTCAAGTGTGATCGCCCACGTCGGTATCTAATTTTTCATTTTTTACTTTCTTCATGGAGGATTGTTTGCTTAGCGATACCTTAGCGTCGCCCAGCAATTCCCAGCGTGGATGGAAGAAGAACTGCAGGCCTTTCTCGGCACCTTCCAGCGTGAGGGAACGCGTAAGAAAGACCACGATTAGGAGGAAAGGAAGAGTCGCCGTGAGATATCTCACTTGCGCCGATGACTTGATCGATTTCCAAATGGAGAAGTACACCATGATCCACGCGGTGATCAAGCACGCCACGAGCTCCCATCGTAGAACTCCTGGCTCCTCGATTCCGTTGCTAATTTGGAGGACCTTGTTGCTAAATAAGAGAAAGGGGAATAGGTATATTTGATTATTTCTCTACGAGACCACCTTACGTCTCACGTAGGTCTTGTGGAGTCTTCAGTGTAGAATACAGAGAAATTAGATATTTTCATATAATATCAGAAGATGTAGTAATATCAATAGAATATTATAATGATAATTTATACGAATGGAGGGAGATTACGCTAAGAGAGAAATTTACTCGAAGAATTCCTCGGACGGCGTCCTCGTCGAATTCGGCCGAGTCCGATTATCGATCGATCCGTAACTGGGCAGCCAGCAGCGCGGTGAATTCCACGAGTTGTCGCAACGCGACCACGGCTGCTCCGCACGGAATGCCGCAAAGAAGTAATAAATTGCGTAGGCTATTATCACATTGTGGTAGGTCGACAATAGAAACGATATCACGACCGACGATAAGCCAGCCCCTGCAAAGACGGAAACGTAGAATGCGCGTCGACACGTAAGACATGTCTAACTTGCAGCATGTATTGCGAAAGAGGCCACGAGTTGCCGTTCGCGGGAATCGAGAATTTTTCCCGATTCTTTGAACTCGCGAGAGAGATCTATGAGAGGAAGAAACTAATCTCATAAATTAAATGGAATTATATACGAGTTAATCTAGAGACATTTAGGAGATTTCGACACTTTCGTAATTTATCAGCGTCATGCCGGTTATGTTCAGACATCTAAAACTTTAGACGTTGGATTAACGGAGCGCCAAAGTAGCACCAAGCAATTATACGTTGAAATGGATTTTTTCACATTAGCGTGTCAATCTATCCCTAAAAATTATAAACTGCTCACAAATGCGTACGACAAATATCTTAACTTTTCGACAATTGTTATCTAGTATCAAACATTTTTTGTCGGTTCTATCGTAAGACTCACTGAGGAGAGTCCAAACGTTGAAGTCGCATCGTTTGAATTGTACATTTTCCTTTCATGTATCCATTTTCATTCGAACAACATAGCGTTAGCTCTTAAGGTAAACGTCCCAACGGTCGGACACGTCCCAGCGTCCGACCATTTTGAAAAAAATATTTACTATTTATTTTAATAATAATGTAGTTTAATTTAATAACAACACATTAATTTAATAATAAAGTAATAATTATTGTAAAAGGACTCCAATATTTGACGACAAGTTGGAAAGAAATATACCCAATTTCATACTTTTGGGTTAAAATAAAAATTAATTAATTAAATGTTTAAATGTTAAAAGTGTTAAAATAAAAATTAATGAATTAAGTGTTTAAATGTTAAAAGTGTTAAAATAAAAATTAATTAATTAAATGTTTAAATGTTAAAAGAGTTAAGATAAAAATTAATTAAATAAGTATGCACCTGTGGCTTGGCAAAATAATGGTCAGTCGTTAATAAATTCATTAAGAGATAGCATCTATATTTATATTATTTCCCGTTAGCACATACTAATTTTCTAATTGCGGTCAAACACTGGGACAAATATATAATCGAATATTGGGTCACCTATTTTAACTGTCTGGTCACTGGTACATTAATGCACTTTATTACTTATGTAAATATTTCATTAATAATAGATATATATATTGGTTTGAGTCATTTTTCTCTACTTAAGAGAATCTTAAGTTTTCGATGCAAATATTTAGATCAAAACTATTCCGAATATTACATATTGTATTTTTCCTCGACGATCTACGCTTCTACGGTTACTACGGGACATTTACCTTACTTGCCGCCGCATTTATTTACTTCATTATACGTCCGGGAAACCTACTTGTTTCGCTAAAAATTATTTTATCGCTTCTGTCTAATATCCAGCCGTCTTTTGACGACTTATTCGTTTTTACCTTTCAATAACGGACACACTTGACCCAGCGCGCCGATCGGACCGCGGCGAGTGAACTGTCCGATGCTGAGCTCCATGTACAGCAATGGTACTCCACATACTATGAGTATTAAAAAGTAAGGCACGAGGAACACACCTGCAACAGCGGAATCGCGGTTATAAGCGGGATAAGCAGGTAAGAGATCCGCGACCGGACGATCGGACGTCGCGATCGGCATGCATAATTGCTATTGCGCTTCGCTCGGCCACGAAAACATCCGCGAGGACCGCCGGATTCTCTCCAGGTCGCGCGATTAGGAGCCCGCTAGCCCGGCCGTGGCGCACGGGTTTGTCAAACGGGTTTCGCTAAACACGGCTCGTACTCTCAACGTGATGGTACTCGACGTTAATCATACTGTGGGCAGTTAGCAAGGTCACTCACTGGATGTAACTCTTTATTCGCAATAAACGACGACGGTAGCGACGCGCGAATTACGACTTAATTCGACAGCGAGCATTTAGCCGCGGCAAGGACACAGGTGCCTGCGATTGCCTGCGATTTTCGAAGGGTCCTCCTTCTCGAATTGCGGAATCCCCCCCCCCCCCCCACCGCGTTTCTCTCGCGCCGATCGCGCCGAGCGCGCGAGTGCATTCGCGCGTTTCTCGTTGTGAAGAATGGAATATTATATATCTTCACACAAGCGCACGACGGTGCGTCTCTCGTTAGCGACGATATATCATTCTCTCGCCGATGCAATTGTACCTCTCATTAGCCACGGTAATATTCTTTTGACTGCGCCGTCGTATTTTTCTCCTTAATAACGACATTCCATCTCGCTATCGCAATCGTATTTCTCGTTATTGACAATATAATATACTCTCGCTGAAACAATCGTATTTCTCATCTCGGCGGCGATATCATTCTCTACTCTAACGCGATTCCTTTTAGTAACGACACTGTCCTCTTCTCACCGTATCTCACACAATCGTATTTGTCATTAATAACAGCGGTATATTCTCTTATATATATAGCGCCATCCTCTATTTCTCGCTAATAACGACTGTGTTCCGTTACTGACGCAATCGCATTTTTCATCAGCGGCAATAGCGTTCTCTCGCTATCGCGCTGGCAACTATAATACTCGTGTACTCTCGCGGAGACGAGACGACGCGCGCTCATACGAGCATGATCGCGCGACCGTGCGCGTCCGATGCGCTTCGCACCTCGGAAAGAGATGTAAATGAATCGCGCACACGGCGGAACGGCGTATCGCGTCGCTCGCATAAATCAGACGACGTTACCCGATATGTTTTCTCTGTCAGCTTCAATCCGGCCGGGCGACGCGACGCGATGCGACGCGACGTGCCGCGCGCGCGCGGATGGCAGATTTTCATTTAGTCCAGGCCAAATGCAAATAATATACGCGACCGTACGCTAAATAAATTATCGCGAGACATTAAACGAGCAGGCCGAGATAACAATCGGCCGATTCGACGTGACGTATCAATGGGCGGGATTGCGGGCGATTTAATCCCTGGCGAAAATCCAATGTGCCTTGTTACAAGGCGCATAATGACGCGTGTTTCCATTAATGTTGTCGCGGCCATTTGCGACAATGTCGTCTTTCTCACGTAAATGCAATTTATTGCCGCTGCTAGCAATGAATATTGGGCCGCGCGAGCGCGCGCGTGAAACAGCACGTCTCGCGTGTGTGCCGGAGCACAGTAGCGCAGCCATATTATTTCCTCTGATTTTCCGCTCTTCTCCCGCTTCATATGTGATTTCGCGAAATCACATGTGCGGTGTATTTTTACGCGTGGATCCATGTGTGCGTGCGCAATTGTGTGTGCGTGCGTTGTTTGCACAACGAATATAATTCGCGCGTGCACGCGCGGATAGTTGAAATTACGGAGATGTTTCTAGCCGGTTGCGAGCGGCGGAGTTGCAATCAAATAAAGTTCTCTCTCTCTCTCTCTCTCGTCGGCTTCCGAATTTCTCGCGAATGAAAATAAGCATCGCGAATACTTGGAATTTCATTAATTTGTTTCTTTGAGAATCCACACTCGTCTCGCCGCACCGGCTGAATCCGCGCAGCGCGCGCGCATCGCATTTGCCCCCGTCGTGTTTTTCGCGAAATCACGCGCGAAACAGCGGAAAGTAGAATGCATCTGGCGAGCGTTCGCGCTCGCGCTCGCGGAATTACGGCGCGATGAGAAAAGCTTATCGCGAAACGGAGTTTCATCGCGAGGAAATATCGCGCTCCCGCGTTTTCAAAATCCCAGCGCGTTGACACGCTTTGGCTCTCGCTTGCCGCTCGCCGGCGAGATCGCCGATGTGCATTTCGGTACGATCCTGCCCTCATCCTAATCCTCATGGTCACTCGTGGCATCGAGGCGCACTCGCGTCGTCCGCGAGCGAAACCCGAGCGAATCGCTTCAATCGTGTAAATCAGATCGCGTTACCCGGCAGCCGGTCTTCCGGCTCTCCAATTTAGACCGGCAGTGCGCCGAGATGATACTCTCTCGCGGCCGATTATTTCCACCGGTGTCATTGAAATCATCAACAGTGTCCGGTGGAGTAGCCGTGTGTTCCGGCAAGGTCATGTATCAAGTTCCGCGCGCGAATTGCGCCGCGCGCATCCGGGCGCCGGATGCTTCCAGACTTTGAAAATTGCCGGGTAACACAACACCCGTTCACGTTGCAGGGATTACGAGAGAGCCGAGTGAGTGAACGAGAGAAAGAGAGAGAGAGAGAGAGGGAAAACGGGACGAGCGAGACGAGTATCGCCCTTGCCCCGAATCCGCGGCCGGGCTTCCGCGAGACGTCACCGCGACGCGTCTTCGCGGGTCTCCGTCTTAATTCGCGCTTCCGCGCGGCAGCGTCTAATTTTTCCTCCGCTCGTCCGCGGAGCACATGATTTTTTATAATTCAATAATCGTAGTCCCGGCGTCCGTTGCGGCTAATCAGTCGCGACACCGCGTTTAATGGTATAAACGTTACGTGAGCGTCGCGTTGCGACATTCCGTCGCCGCGTTGCCCGGACGCGGACGAGCGCACGGAGGAGAGAGAGAGAGAGAGAGAGAGAGAGGGAGGGAGAGAGAGAGAGAGAGAGAGAAACCTTAAAATTGAGCAAGCAATGTACGTTTTACTCGCGAAAAACGACCATTCTTTCCTGAGACGTGTCGAAGATCCGTCAAGTTTCCCGACGAGAGACCGCTGCAGCGGCTCGGACCGCTGCTTTGTCAGCTATTTCGCCACTGACGTACTTCACACGGGCGACGCGCGAAATAACTCTTATCACAGTTATGCTAATCGCGGCGACACGTCCCGACGACGTCGTTGTTTGCTTACTTGGCACTCGCGAGTTTATTTTGACCGTGTATATGTGCGGCCGACAGCTGTGCGAAATCTCTCGTCGCCCCTTTTTTCCCTCCCTTCCCAGCCCGGGCCTGCACTCTTTTTCTTCACAGAATTGCATACTCGTCCATTCCGCTTCTCACTCAGAGAATCGTCAAAGGTGCGACGCCTGACACACGAAAAGCTCATCAAGCCGCGCAGTCAACCAGAGTCTTAAAGAGCTTAAAGAGCTCGACCTTAAAACGATGATTAACGTATCTGTCTATCTCTATTTGTCTTTTCTTCCCTCAATTTCTCTCTTATCTTTATTGTTACTTTAAGTGCCTCCAAAAACTTTACTTTATTCTTACTTTAAGTGTCTCTGAAGAATTCCAATGCAAATCTGCCTTCCGTGTGCTCTTGAAGCGCAGAATCCTAGAGAGTAATGATAAATTGTCCATCTATTAATCTCTCTCTTTCCCACTCTCTTTCTCGCTTCCTCTCTCTCTCTCTCTCTCTCTCTCTCTCTCTCTCTCTCCCGAGGCTTCCTACGCTTGCCCGCTCGGCCGCGAAGAAGCGAGAGACACTTTTTCCACATTTGGTTTCCACAAATCGGATCTCGCGGGACTCGCATCACGATCGCGCGTAATAAATCGCGCGCGCGGTACCGCGGGAGACTCACCGCCGCCGCTCTTGTAGCACAGGTAGGGAAATCTCCAGACGTTGCCGAGGCCGACGGAGTAGCCGATGCAGGCCAGCACGAATTGCACCTTGTTCGCCCAATGTGGCCTCCTGGGCTGCCGGTAGTCGCTCGGGTCGTCCGCGTCCCCGTCATCGTAGCTGGTGCACGTGGAGAGATCGTCCTCGAACCTGCAACGTCGTCAACAACGTCTACGTCGGATGCTTGGCGTGCAAATATACGTCGCAGCCGTGGATTGGAAGGAGAGTTCCACGGCGCGGCTTCGGCGCGACCGGCGGATGCAGAGCGAGAAAAATTGAAAGAGTCGCGGGGGACAAGTGTCGCGCGGTCGCGCGCTAAATTCATCAGCCGTGACGTTTCGGCGGGGAAACGCGGTGACGTATGACCGCTCTGCCACCGGAGAGAGGACTTTTCTATATGAATATAAATACAAACGCTGGCTGTTTTGTATTAATACGTCGGTCCCCGGGCGCACGTAACCGGGCGGCGTTTTGCTAAATACTTTGTCAAACGGATCGGGTTATTTATGGCTCGCCGCGCTGAGATTTGAATAACGACGCGACGTTCCCTTCTCTCCCGCCGATGTATCCCGCCTTTTCGATTCGTTCGAAGCGACTCGGACGTCACTCCGAAAAGTCTCATACTGAAAGACGACGAAAAATGAGCGGCTCGTAGTCTCTCGTAAAAATTGCTCAAATTCGTACGATAACGCGCTTAGTCGAGAAAAACCGAAGGGGGCGCGCGCGCAGACACATTTTTGCCCTCGAATTTCCCGAAAGGTCGTCCGCGCATTTCGCACCGGTGGAAATAACTCGCGTTAATCGCCGATAATTCCCAAGCGTTAACTCGATCGTCCGCCAACTCGCGGTCCGCCAGTTAATTCTTACGCTACTAATTGCATCAATGAGAAATTATCGAGCCGCTCTGCACCCGCAGCCGGTGTAGCGCGAAATTCGCGTCTGCCGTGGAGCGGGATAAATCTACGTGACGCGGAATCCGCGAGAGTTTGTCAGGATCCGCTTTTTAATCGCTCGACGGTCTCGGCGAACGACTCCGCGCCGCTCAGGGATCGCGCTGTAAATCTATTTGACGGGAAATCCAGCCGACTTGCCGCTCGCGCGTCAGTCGCGTTACGCATTTTTATCATCACCGTTGACAGCGTTGCGGGGGCACATTCGAGTCCACCGCATCATTTCTCCATCCGCACGGTCGACTGTATGAAAATCATGTGGCGAGCCGCAAGAGACAACGTGCGGCGTACCGCGACTTCGTCACAACTCACTTCAATTACTCGCGGCGATTTCGGCGAACGGACCGGCCGCCGGGAAACTGACAGTCTCTCGCTGTTCGCGAGAGACGGAATTTGACGGAAAATCGCGCCGACTTGGTCACGCGTCGGTTACGCCACGCATGGGCGACGCGTGCGTCCGCGTTTGCATTTGCATGATGTGCGTTCGCGTGCTACCAGCCCGGCAGCCGGCACCATTAAATATTCATCGTCATTGTTTATAGAACGACATACGCAGCAGTCATTCGAATCCGATTATCGGCGATAGCCGAGATTAACGCAACAGTTCGGCGTCGCGCCAAGTCGCAGCCTGCCAATCGCGGCTGGAATCCGCGCTCGCGGCCGCGGCCGACAGATTTCAACTTGCCGTTATAAATAAATCCGATGAACGAAATCTCTTTCTCTCTCTCTCTCTCTCTCTCTCTCTCTCTCTCTCTCTCTCTCTTTCCCTCTGCGCCTTTATGGCCATATATTATGATAAAGTGTCGCGCGAAATAGGCGGCGACGAAGACGACAACAACGACGGCACGATATCGACCTTGCGACGACGAGGTGCTGCGAGTTACGTAACACTCGTCGATCGACCGGGAATTTTTATGCGTTTATCGCATAAATTCATACTTCACGCTGTGGTGAGCGCAAAAATGGCGTTGGACCACACGGGCGGGGACGGCGGGCAGGGAGGGGCGCGGTCGACAATGCTGAAAAATATGTAGGCGACGCACCTGTGTGTGTACAGTCCGCATCGCGACGGAAAACTATAATACACACCGCGGGCGCATCGTGGATACGATAATACGCGCCATTGCTCGCGGAGCGTGTCATTAGATCCTACGGAAAAAAGAAAAAGAGAGAAAAAGGAAATACTCGTGGAACAGAAAACCACCGCGCTGCACCGCGGCAACGCGAGCGTAACGATCGACGGAGGCGACCATCGGACGCTGACCGCTTCCGCGATGACGAAGATAAAATCGATCGATCTGATTTCGATTAACACACTCGGCTCTTGGGGCCGTATCGATCAGCCCGTACGCTTGGAATCAGAGACCCGAGCTCTCCAATTAATTTATACGATACGTGTAACATTAAATTCGTGATCGCGAGCCGACTTAAAGAGATCCAACTCGAAAGGACGCGATTGCAAATTCACGCTCGAGAGTCTCGCATGAGGCAAGTTTCAAGCAACGGCTATTCACAGCCTTAGACTTCTCAGAATTTCGAAGTCCATGAGAGGACGGTAGCTGCGAGTGGTTAACTGCGAGAGAATAATCAATTATTATTGTGTCAATATGCGATGCCGCTGCGGACAAAGAACGCGACGACGTTTCGCTCACCGTCACGACCGCGAATAATTCATCCGTTAATCTCTCGTCGTCGGTTTTGTACGATAATGTATAGAATTTGCTCTCTTTCTCTCTCTTTCTCTCTCTCTCTCTCTCTCTCTCTCTCTCTCTCTCTCTCTCTCTCTCTGTCACTCCACTTCTGATGGAAATAACTTAATTAGACCGCGCGCGTATCGGCAGGAGAGTGCTTCGAGATAGCGCGTACACGTGGATTTACAGCGTTCAGCTGTTTATCGTCGCTTCATTAACGCCTTTACGTCGCGAGCGCTGACGACGACGACGACGACGAGGAGAAAGAGGAATGCCTTTTCCTCAGGAGGCCCGTGCGCGCTATTCAAAAACGAGACGTGACGAACTCCAAATGTAGGACGACGATTACGGGTCGTTCCAAGCTCTGTCCCGTTTCAATGGAAGAAGCGGGACAGAAGCCGCAACAATATGCCACGGAGCGCACGAACACACCTACTTACAACAACGATACGGTCTTACATTGTACACCTATTATCCACTTACGCCTCTGGGACGATACGCCGGAATTGCAGTCCCTGGATTACGAGACCTGCCGGCTTCGCGAGCAGCTTAGACGCGCAGCGCATCGCTCTCTCCCTCGATCTAGTTGTCTCTCTTTCTCTCTCTCTCTCTCTCTCTCTCTCTCTCTCTCTCTATCTCTATCTCTCTCTTTCTTGTCACGAGAGAATACGCAGGAAACGAGGCTCTTGATATCAGGACGATCGATTAACCGGTGTAATTCGGCCGAGGTGCGATCGCCGATGAGAATGATCCACCTTCTTCTCCCTTCGTCTCTCGTCAAGCGATTCGGGTCTCTCTTATTTTCCTCCCCTTCCTTCTTTATCCTCTCCTCTTATCCTCTTTATTTCCGCGTTACGACTGCACATAGACCGATATAATAGCCTTAACACATGAAGTTACACTTTCCTAGAGCGCGGCCGGAGTATAAAAGTTCCCGGGAAGATGTATTTTTTAAAACGTACACTCTTCTCACGTGAGAGAGTCCAACATGTGGTATAACTTCATTCAAGTTATTACACCGGTTTATGTAACTTGGTCTCAACACGATCCGAGCATTTTTCTCCCGACGTAACCCGAAACCCAGTCAACGGCTCGCTGAGGAAATTTAATTTTTGCGAACCAATCGAGCCGCCGATTCTCCCAGCGGACCGTCGTCGGCCGCGTTCCGAATCACACCGAGGAAACTGTCCGAATCCTGATGAGGCCGAGTGTACTTCTCCGATGTACTACTTGAATGTCGCTCTGATGGGATATTATTCTAGAGCGCGCGCAGTAAATCACTGCTCTACTCTCTATTGTCGCGCCCTCGCTTGTTCGCGGCCGCGCTTTAGAGCAGGTCGTCGCAGCGTGCCGACTAGAGAGCTGTCCGCGGCCAAATTGAGAGTCCAAATTTCACCGACGTCGTTGATTAACTGACTCAACCCTTGCCCCTTTCCAGATCATAGCGCTCGGCTGCCGTTGCTGCGGCTCTGCAGGTGACACAACGGCGGAATTTACTCAGAGGCGGTTAGCGTTAATTGATAACGCGATCGAGCCTGAATCGAGCCAAGTTTGTCTCAGATGGGAAATTGAGCAGTAGCGGGCGCCTCTTTAGAGACTCAGCTGGCTAGAGCGACGACCGTTCGTCTTCGCTGCCTGCCGGGATTAATCTCGCCCGCGCGGCTATTGGGGTGGTCTTCGCGCTAATTGTGAAGCGAGAGGAGTGCAATGATTCGATCGAATGTAATTCACGGTGCGAAATATTCTTCATTTGTCTTGCACATCCTCCCCCCCCCCGTTCCGATCGGAACTTTCGGCCACTTTCACAGCGCTCGCTGTGAGCTATGATCCAGAAGCGGGCGCAGGGAGAATCACTGATCGTTAATCAGCTAATCAGCGTCATCGATGCGACTGACCTTTGCTAGTGCTCGGTCGTGCTCGACGACAGATTTCGCAACGGTTTGACATCCGCGCTCGGCGCGGGCATCAGCGCGACGAATCGACGCAACAAGAAACTCACGGCTCGAGATGGAATTAACGCGCATTAGGCGAGCGACTCAAGACTCTCCGCGGCAGTCTTTAATGTAACGCAAGTAATCGCCGGGGTAATTATAACGCGATCCCGAGAGCTGCCACCGTCGCCGCGAATCTCGCGTACTGAGGATCAGGCCGAGCTGCGGCTTCATTTTTATGTCCTCGGATACGCGGTTTAGCGGCTCGGTCCGTCCGCGGTGTTTGCACGTGGCATTAGCCCGCACGCGAGAAACATGCGGCAGCTGCGGGCTCCTGTATGTTTTAATTCGATTCGTGGTAATCGTCCTCCGCGCGACGTCTTCGACGAGCTTCGGGAACGACGAGAAACGTTGAGCCGGCTGAAGATTAATTATTTCGTTTCTTCATAAATTAACGTCAATTACTCGATCCGATCATCCTCCATTTCAGCCCGTTGCGTTCTCCTGTTTTTCTGCTTCTGCCCTCCGTCCTCTCCCCCGCTCTCCCTCTCTCTCTCTCTCTCTTAATAAAGCAAGCCCGATGACGATTTAGTCGGTCGTGTTGATTGATCCATTGTAATTCAGAAGTAGCGCAGTTGTGGTGTTACGTCACAATAATGTGTGACATTAGTTTTCTTCTGAAAATATCAGGATGATTCACAGGCAAGTCGACATTCGCGAGTCCGACCGACTTAACCGAGCGGTGCCGCGGCGGCGAATTGAAAAATTCGCAGGCAGATCGGAGAATGGTGGAGAAACGATGGTCTTCGTCTCGCGAAAAAATGATGTCTGTCGCATCGCTCTTAAGTGAATAAAACGACACAGATTTGCCCGAGAGCTTGTGAGTCACTCAAGCACGTCTTATCTCCCTTGACCTACTGCTACATTTTTATCGCGCATGTTTGTCGACCGCAATTATATCTGTATCTTCCTCAAGACGTTCTAGAAATTATCCTTTCGCCTGGAAACAATTCTCGCCTTTCCCCACGGGAGGAAAAAAATTCCGTTCCGTTTAATTCCGGCTGAATTTTCCGTTATCTCGGAGGAACGGGAAAGGGACGGAGAAAATTCGGTTGTCCACCGAGGAAGAAAAAGATTCCTACGAAAGTTCGGGCAGCGCAAACTTCTAAAAGCTGCCTCGGAGCTGTCTTATTTAGGTGCGTTTGGGGAGACGCTATTGGCGCTACCAACGCAAACGCTACCAAAACCGTTGGTCGTGCGTAATAGTGATAGCGGACTCGAGCAATAGCGCGAGCATTGCTGCTTGTTACCGTTGTATCGTTTGACGATCTAGAGCCGACTTAGCAATTTGTGCTCTAAAAGCACTAATTGATGAGAGTCGCGGTTTAAATGCCTCCAAAATGCCAGCACCTCGAAGCTCTGCACGGAACTGCGTACCCATTACGTACGCAAATAGTAAAGTAATGAGTACAATGAAGGTACCGTTCAAACGCAGTGACACATGTGAGCTCCCAAAGGCTAACGCCACTAATTCACTACCTTGGAAGGAATAGCGTTGATAACGCGTAATTATGACGTACAACGCTACCATCAGCAATGTCACGATAGCATTCGTTAGCGCTATCATCTGGCTGCGCGAAACAGCTTGTAGCGCTAAGTAGCGCTAATAGCGTCTCCCCAAATGCAGATCCTCAGATATCTCTGAGACGTCCTGAAGACATCTTTTAGAACTGCCTGGAAAGTTTCGGTAGATTATTTCCGCTTACCTCGAGCGAGCTTTAATACAGCCGATAATTTAATACATCCAGACGACTTTTTCGATCACTTCTCGGTCGCTTCTCGTCACCGAATTTTCGCGTCTGGTCCCTACAATTCGGTCATACAAGCTGAGATTCTTCTTTTCGTGTATTTCTCTTCACGAAGAGAAGGAAATCAACTCTTTTGCGAAAGGAAAAGATTCAACTAGGCGCAAACGAAATTATCATCTCTCTCTCTCTCTCTCTCTCTCTCTCTCTCTCTCTCTCTCTTTCTTTTTCTGGTCCTTGCTAGAGGTATAATTTTTCTTCGAAGTCTTCGTATTCGAAACTTCGAGGAAACTAAGCTTCGATACAAAATATTCGACGATCGAAGTTTCGAAGCTTCGAACCTTCGAAGCTTTGTCAAATTTCGAAGGTTTCGAAAATTTCGAGAATTATACATTGCCTGATTTTTTATGCTTTTGTTATCCGCAGAATGTAGAATATATGACTGAGATGGCCTAGCGTGCAGTACATGCACGTGCATGTAGAAACAAGGAGCGCAGGTTCAGAAGAAACCTCGAATATATCGAAGCTTCGAAGCTTCAGCATAAAGAACCTTCCAAGTTTCGACGTTGACTTCGAAGCTGCCAAAGAGTAACAGCCCTAGTCCTTGCCCGCACGTCGTCAAACTTCCATGTTCCGCGACATCGCGGTCAAGGTGCGCTCATCCGCTTTCGAAGCGCCGCGGGCACCGGAGCGGGCACGCGCTCGCGTGTCGCGCGTGATTCACGTCGCGCTCCTTCGAAAGGTCGAGAGGCACATCGTAGGTAATGTGGTTCACTTACGGCGGCGGATGTACCATGTTAAGCAGCTCCGACGGCGAAGTGGGAACTCTACGTATCGTGAGCTTCCGGCCGTCGGAAGAGCCCAGGCCGATCGACGCCAGGGACCTGATCGAGACCGCGTCGGGGCATGAGCGGGCTTGACCGCCGTTCACGTCGGCGTACAGGATGGAAGCCCAGCTGGGCGGCTGATGGTAGCAGGAACAGTGCTGCTGACATTCGTCCATAACGACCGCAGCGGGCCGCAGCGAGCGTAGACACGGGCAACGGTGATGATGTCTCGCGCCCGCCACGAGTCTGCCAGGACTCTGAGTACCGTTGTCGCGACTCGGGCTCGACCTGGACTCGCTCTGCTCGGCCAGCCGGGACTGCTGCCAGCGAGCTGGACACCTGTCGGGACTGTCGTCGCGGTCGATCGTCCTGCGGAAGTTGTTGCTGCTCGTCGCCGGGGCGACGAGGATTCTTCGAGCGGCCGGGCTCAACAGGCGACCCCTCTCCTCCGTGGACCACTCGGCCTCCGCCTCACCGCGCTTCTCGCGCTGATGGTGGCCGATCCTGATGACGTCCGGGTCCGTGTCGTCGGACGCGACGTCCTCCTCTTCCGGCATCGCGCTCATTTTACGCGCGCGGGCGGCTTGTCGGTCGTGCGGCTTGTTGTGGGCGGCACCGTCGCGCTTCGGCGGGACGGGTTTGTTACTGTCGCGGTTTTGCTCGTCGCCGACGTTGACGCTGTTACTGCCGCTCTCGGTGTCCATGGTCGCATGACGACCTCCTGAAGACAGAGAAGGGAACGATCAGTGAGGGAGGAAGAGAGGGCTAGTGCGAGGAAGGGAGAGAATACCTTTACCGATATCTCGGTTGTTCGGAACATCGACTCGCCTCTCTCGGGATTGCTCCGAGCAAACTCGACCGCGTATTTCAAACGTTGCGCGTCAACTTCGTTCTAATGCTACACCGAAAGCTATCGCTCAGCGACGATTCATTCGAAGCGCTGGATAGATATATTGGCTCAAATTACACGTTTCCGCTTCTATAAGAGAGCCATGCGGGAAAATAGCGGGGCAAATTTAATTCCCGCGTGAAATCCTCGCGGGAGGGAAATCGGCTCGATTTTGAGCGCGTGGAAGTTTACTTCAGGAACTTGTGGACGCGGCGAGACGTCGCGGCGTCGGGCGCCGCGATATTCCCGCCGATTTGATCGGAGAAGGTAATACGAGGAGCCAATGATAGCGGGCGGGGCGACAGAGTACTCGTGGGATTTAAACGGGGAAGAATGCGCGCACCGTTCGGTATATCAAGCAGCGCGATCAAAGCGCGTATTCGCGCTTGATCGCCCGGGATCGAGCCTCTGCCCGTGATGGGCTCCGGCGAAACGTCCATTGAATATTTCGCGTGCGCTCGATCGCCGTCTCGATGAAATATTAATTTCGAATCGCGCGTCCGTCTATTAGCCGGATAGCATAATTCGCTTACCGATCGAAACGGCTTTGAATATGAAGCGAGAAGGGCGGGCATTTTGCGGCGGTGTTCGTACGATTAACGCGCATCGTCGGTTGTATTAGATGTCGTGCCGCGATAAATTCTATTATTATTAGAAGGCCGTATAACTCTCGCGATTCGATAAACCGCTGACCGAGCGACGATTCGCCCAGCGAGCGGCACTTATCGGGAACGAGTATCTCCTTTCTTTCCCGCGCGCTTACCCAATCGCGCAATCGGGAAATTAACGCGAGGAGATACGTGTGAGTTGAATAAACGAATATAAAGATGTATGCAAATGTGTACAAAGAAAAAAGAAATGTGTACACACTTGTCAGACGAAAATTGAGCACCTCGCTGATTCGCGGCGAATTCGCCGAGCTGATTGCCGGTCGTTTACCTGTCTGGAGATAATCCCGACTTAACAATCCTGTCTTCTCCTCCGCCGGCACGGGGACTCACATCACACGCTGGGCCGACTTCCTCGCGCCGCGAAAACGGCGCAGTGAGAATCACGTGCGAGCGCGCGAGCGCTCGCACTTCTTTCGCGGACGGGCTATCGTCGTCGCGCTTTTTACGAGACTGACTCTGATAGCGAGAGATAGCGTCATCTCTCGCAGGTGCGTGCGCGGCTATTAATCTAACATGATTTATCGCGAGACCCTCTCATCGCGTTTGACGGGTGCGCGTATACTCTTTCGCGTCGCTCCGGCCGATTGCTGCGCGCGCGCGCGCCACAGCAATTTGTCACTTCGGGCAAATAATCGTTCGCGAAACAGCAACTGCGCTCGCACATCTCGCGAGAGTGATCTAGTAGACTTATCTCGGCACGACATACACGCGCGCGCGCGCGCACATACACACACACACACACACACACGCGAACATAGGCGCGTTTATCTGCGCGAAGATACGCCGCGCATGACCGCACATTCTTACCTCCTTACGCTAATGAATTTTTCAGCCGATGCGCCGTTTACGCACCGAGAGCGCGCCGCGGCAGCCGCTCAGTTTATTGCCGCGACTCGCATGACTACGTTCACGTACTCGCAAGCGCACATTCACTGGTGGAAATCCGGGCCGAGAACCCGGCCCGGTGGTGTCGATTCAAAGCGACCCCCGATCCCTCATCGGCCCAATACTCGAGCGAGTTACACAGCGAGAGGAGCGTTCCGCGCTCCCACCGACGCGATGCGACGCGCGACGACGCGACGGCGAGAAAAACAAATCGCGCTGTCGCGCGTGCGGGAGGCGCGCGAGAGTGCGCGCGCTTTTTGGAGCGCGTCCTCGCAGGTGAACGTCATTCAATGACACTTCCATGCGCATCACGTGTCACACGCGGAGAGTGTTACCTGTCAGATTGCAGCGGCGTGCCCCGGCGAGCGGATCGGACGTGTTCCAACAAGCCGAGCAAAAGTCATTCGCGTATCTCTCTCGTGATAACGAGAGCTTACACACACGCGCGCGTGTGTCGTTCGCTTTCTCTCTCTCTCTCTCTCTCTCTCTCTCTCTCCCCTCCTCTCTCTCTCTCTCTCTCGCAGTCTTTCTTTGTCTCTCGCTCGCAAGCACACACGTGCCGACTACCGTCGACGGCTCGGCATAATGCAACGCGCGTGTTCGTTCACACTGTCGCGAGCGAGCGCCGCGAATTCTCTCTCGCGTCAGAGCGCGTACGACGACGATGACGACGACGACGACGACGACGACGACGACGACGACGGCACGGGATCGTCTCCGGGCGGCGAAGCGACGACACCGCCGACGACAAGCCGCGTTTTGCCGCGGTCCGCGTGCACGCCCGTCGTAATCATTCGCGAATCGTAACGCACACGCGGCCGAGCGGACGCACTCACGCACGCGCACGCACACGCACACGCATACTCGCACACACGCACACGCGCACACACGCGTGACACTAATAATGATACCATGGCACGACGTCAGCGCCGTACGTTGTACGTGCGTGACTCGTGACGCGTGTGTTGCCCGAGAGACTCGGGCCTGAATCGCATGACTCGTACAACGCCGACGGGCTGGCGGGGGCCCGTGATATCCTCTTCTGGATGTGTGTGCTCACCTACCTCTCTTCATGGCCGGTATCTCGCTTGGCGGTTTGCGCGGCTCGGGTAGGGAGAGGTATCAATGTATGCTCGGTGACATGATTATGGAGGTATAGAGAGAGAGAGAGAGAGAGAGAGAGAGAGAGAGAGAGAGAGTAACGGATGAGAATGCAGGTAGATAGCGATCATTGGAGATTTTATTTGAATTCCGGGATACGAATCTTACCGACGCACCGGCAAGTTTGGGAATGTTCGAAATTTCGCGGAGAGATCGCGGGGGAACTTTCGAAATTTCTGGTGGAAAGTGAGCGAAGAGAGTCTCAAAGTCAAGCGGTGCGGCAGCGATCGCGCGGCAGCTGTGTGCGCTACGCGCGTTGCATGTTATAAATAAAAATGTGAACTAGTAAGATCTAGGGCACACATCGCGCCGCTACGTACTTGAAAACGATATCGTATCGCTGCGCTAATGTAACCGACCGGCAACCACCGACGTCTGATGCGCGGCCGGGGGAAGTTTGTACTTTCTTCGCGCGAGCGCCACGCCGATTCGGATCGCTTTGAGATCCGCGGCGTAAAGTAATATTTGAGCGTAGATATTTAAATATCGACATTTGCATATCTTCCCGTCTGTCTCGCGTAGAAAGCGGGTGAAGGTGTTTTGTATGCGAGTTTCTACCGGCTGCGCCGGTTCCTACGTGCATCGTATTCCCGTAGGTGCCAATTATGCAACGCGATCAAGCGCGTGACCGTGCGACAGGCGGGTCATGAAATGTTAGACTCTTCCCACTCTGCCTCATTCGCATACATTCGCTGCGGAACGATACTGTTATCGTTGCGACTATGATGGGCTACTTTTTATCCTGATTGTAGGCAACGGGCGAAGCCGCCGGGCGTCGCTCGCCTGTCGAATGGCAACTAGATTTACCGCGTTGCTTTCGTGTCTCTAGTGTCTCCTAAACTGGCGTTACTCGATGTGCAAACGCTATATACGTAAAATTGCAGGACTTAAACTCGTTATCCTGCTCGCTTCTTCGTTTTTGCACAAAAAGTGCAGTGTGTTGCCCTCGAGTTTTACTCTTCCTAAATAAATCCGCCGGCGCAACGTTCGAGAAATTCACGAGATAGAAAATGATGAAGCAAGGAGGAGAAGATTAGCCACGATTTTTATTTCTTCGTTGACGCAACGAATACGAGAAACTTTTTCAACTTTAGTTTAGGAACTTCACACCTTTTTCACACACACACACACTCAATAGACGAACGCGTCTAATTCCTCGTTTGGTCACCCGTTCCTGCCAGCTCGTCCCTGTCTGGCAAATTTAAAATTCTAATTGGCCCCCAAATAATTACGTATCGAGGTGATATATTATCCGGGAAGAGAGAAAGAAGAAATAGCCGGAGAATTAGACGCAGGGGATAACAACGGCGCAAAAAAGCGAACGAGACGACGACGGCGGTCGAAAAGCTCGCGGCTCTCGTTCAATGGCAGCGCCAAGGTTCCGCTTCCTTTCACCGCGGTCCTCCGTTTTATTTCACGCTCGAGATCGGTTATCGCGTAATGCACGCGAGTCTACACGCGAATGTAACACGTAATACGGCGGTAGGATCAATGGGCCAAGGATTGGCGGCGGCAGCTGGGTTGAATTCCCACGAAAGACCAGGCTAACGGCTGCTTAACGCGCTCCCGTGTCATTATCCTCCACTAAGTAACAGGTACAATTGAACGTAACCTTTTTCTGCCGCGCGGTCGATCGAGGTGAGTATCCGCGCGATTAGAATTTCAGCGATCCTCGTTCGCGTTCCTGCGGATTCGATCGCCGGGGCTCTGTCGACGTCGACTTCGTCGACGACGAATAAATTCGCCGACTCTTCGTCGGGCGACGAAAGCCCGCGACAGGATAACGCACCGTCGCGTATATTACTCGCGCGTCAGAAATTACGACTGATGATGCAAGCTCACGGAATACAAACGCGCGTGTGAATCCTACGCGAGCCGCGCGACGGTCAGGGTCGTAGAGGCGAGACCGTGTTGCTCAACTTTTGGGGACATCCGCGTTCAGCTGGGAGATGTATCCAAGTTTCACGCCTCGTAATATGCGCGGCATGTGCCGTACCTTCCACGCCGCGCCATTGTGTGCCGCCGCATGTTCGTTTGCATCTGACATTAAAACCCACGTAGATACACCGCCATAGTCGCCCATCTTCCGATCCGAATCATCGTTTAGACTCGCGCGAGCGCGCCCATCTCACGCCCGTCAGGATGATCCAACCGAAATTGAAATTCCTACGCGGGATCGATGAGATCTCGTGGCTTCGCGGCGACAAACATTGCGTGGGCAGCTGGTTTCTCGGTGGAGTAACGCAACGCTCGTATCTAACTCTGCTGAACTTTATTTCTTTGGATTCCGATTTTTTTTTTCTTCATTCGAGAGTTTATCTCTCCTTGGAGATTTCTTCATAGGATCTCTCTCTCTCTCCTCTCTTTCCTCTCTCTCTCTCTCTCTCTCTCTCTCTCGAAACGCGACGGCTTACACCTCGTAAATACTCCTACCAGGTTCGACATCCACCGGGCTTTGCAACGAACTATCACGAATCTCGCAAGATCGTAAAACGCTAATAACATCGTTAAGTCGTCCTGCTTTGCACAGGCTGCGGTAGTTAGTCTCGTCTGTTGGCGTTTCGGTGTCTCTCAACTGTAGGAAGAATCGCCGGTGAAGCCTTTACGTTTAATGAGCTGAGAAACTCAGTGATGATCTCCAGTCACTCGCACCGCACAGGTGAGAGCAGGCATAATATAATCAAAGAAATATATATAATGTAATAATTTTTTATACATGTTATAATTTCTGTATTATATGAAATAATATATAACATAACATAAAATGACACGATATGACATAACAAGGTACGCCATGATACGTCACATGATACGATAACGTAAAAAGATCATCTTTCACATAACTTTTGCATCATCGCGAAACGCGTTGCCGCGCGTCCACGTGTAAGTGCATCTCAACTCGCATCTCGGCTCTGCCGATTGCGAGTGCCCAGCTGTCCGGCGGCCATGATGTCGCGCGTGAAGCTGAAGGGACCACGTCCGTAGACGACGACGAGCTGTCTCTCCCGAAAAGGCAATCAATCATTCCCTCATCAGTAAGTGCTCTCATGCCCGGTGCAGCCGGCGCGTCGCGGCTCTTCGGCGAGTCCGAGGGAGAACGATCTCGAATCCTCTCGCGTCGATCCGATCGCGGCGAACCGAAAAGAGGAGAGAAGTCACATCGCCGTGTGCGACCGCGCGCGTTGCGCAAGATCGCCGTCTCGTGCGTCATTACGTAAGGGCGAAAACTCCAGGCCGCCGAGCGGCCGTCGCCCGGTCGACGAGGAAGCTCCCGGCTGAGGAGTCGCCGACTCGACGACGACTCGCCGTCGGCGAGCAGCCGGTGCTGCTCGCTCGCAGCAGCAGCGACGACCGGACGACGCCGGCCGGCCGGTGGAGGCCGCCGCGCGCGCGCGACTCGGGGGGAGCGTCGACGAAAGCGGGGGTGTCGCTGCCTCCGGAGCCTCCGCCTTCGCCGGCCTGCTCCCGATCCCCGAGCTCTAGAGGGAGCGACGCAGGCCGCGCCGAAATAAACTTTCCCGGGTTATGTAAAGCGGCCGATACCTCCGCTTCGTGGACTCCGCCGGTATAAAGGTCGGCTCTGCCCCCAGCGGTCCAAGAGTTGCTCGCGAACTTCACGTCGGCAACCATCGAGAGAGCCGAGCGAGAGAAAGAGAGAGACGCTCTACATGTGACGCTGCCTTGGTGCCAGCCTCGTCCACCTTCCAACGTCACAACGTGCCGCACCGCTCCGTTCTAAAGAGTCTTGCTTTCTCAGGCGCGTGCAGAAACGCGTGTTCCTCGTGTCGCCGTCGTAGTCGTTAGTCAGCGTCGTCGAGCCGGCATCATGCGTGCCCTGGTAAGTGGTGCCTCTCTTGGTCGTGGCTTTACTCGTCTCTGTTTCCTCGCGAGTTCACGTCGCAGCTCCGCTCCGTCGTGTCGCAGCGAGTTGCGTCAGCCGAGAAAACAGTTTGCGCTAAAGACAAGAAACGAACTGTTCGAGCGAGGGGCGGGAGGGGGATTTGATGACGGGGAATGGACAAGTTCGTAACGCTTTGTTTTTAGTCTTGTTTCCCGTTGCTTTTCACTCCGCGCCGAGTCGACATCGGCGCGGTGCACTCGCCTCTTTACGACGATCGGCGAACGCGATCGAACGAAAGCTTCAACTTGGTTACGTGCGCGACTTGGCCGCCACCGAAGTAACTCTCTTAGTAACTCTCTTAGGCGGGGGTTGCGATCCCGCGAAATCAAATCGCCGCCCTGGTGGCAAAAGTCGCCTCTCGAGTCGGGCGCTCGATCGCGGGAGAAAAAGGAGAATACGTACTTTACGCGAGGGAAAGGGACAACACTCCTTCCCGCTCTAACGGATGTGCAGCGGCACAACTTTCGCGGTAACGTATGCATGAATATAAGTTGTAATTTTATGGGGACTGTTTTGCGAGAGAAGCTTTTACGTGTAGCGCGCCCGGATAAAGTATGATGCGCCATCACGCTCTGATAATTTTACGAGCTTTATGTATCTGGGACACTCGGGGAAATACATAAATTACAGCCGGGTATAAAATGTGTGCCTGCATACGTGCATATACACGCACGCACGCACGCACGCACACATACACACACACACACACACACATATATATAATATGTAATATCGCGCACGATATCAAGCATTATTAGCAAGTTTCGACAATGCAGGCGGAAGGAGAGGGGGCGGGGAAGAAAGAGAATAGATTAGCTCGTGCTTACGCACACGATATCACCGTTATTAATACGCGCGTTTCCGAATTGACAATATTACCAACTGACAATACACTTTATTCGCGCCATTCAAAAGTCATTTATAAATGGCCGTGTTATTTCGCCCGGTTTGTATAATAAATCAACCCCGATAAAAACGCGCACGCGCAATAATTTTCCTTCGCGACACGAAAACCTTTCGCGTCGCGAAAGAGCGAAAAACAACACGGGAGAAAAAAGAAAGGGCGGGGGAATAATAAAATGCGCTCGATATTCCCACATATATTTCCGCATTAGTCATATTCCATATATTGAATTTCCATGAACGATAAACGCGTCCGATTTCTCCGCGTCGCGGACGTTGAAATTGGTCACGCGTACATATTCATAAACGGCCGTGCGTGATTTAGCGTTACGTGTGCGATAGGGCTATTTATCACCGTATGAAAGTTACGTGGCGCAAAACGACCATTACGACGTTGCATAATCTATTAAATTACGTAACCTATTAAATTTGCAAAACTGACATAACTCAATGGCCTGCGACCGCGCACATTGTTGTACGGCGTTGCGCGACGACGGGCTACGCCGCTGCCATCGTCGGGTTGCCCGCCGCGAGAACCGACCGCATACGTTGATTTGCATATACATATATTTTCTAATTGTCTACTTTCTCGCGTAGAAAGCACATCAGGCCGGCCGGCCGGCCGGCTGGCCAGTTCGAGTCCCATCTGTTCGATATTCGATATTCGCCGGTGGCGTTAAAACTCGTCGACGGAGTATCATCGCGAACCGCGCTGCTTTCTCACGCTGATGCTGACAAGCTTGTTAGCCTCTTCGAGTCCGTTGTGACAGCACGATCAAATTAGCGGTCGAATAATGATCAAGTAACAGATAAGGATCGAGAACGAGACTCGTGTGAAAAGCGTCTCGAGAAGCGAAGATGCGAGGATTGCCGACGAACGGCTCGTGATTTGAGGAGTTTGAGAGGTATTACGAGTTAATATGCTGAGTTCAACAGATATTAAAGTAATTTTGCGTGTTATAATTTTCATGAGCTTTCATGATGAATACACATTCTCCAGACTTGTAATTTATCGTTGAAGAGGCCGCGAGCAATTGGCACCGAGACGTTCATTATTTGTTAAATATTTCAATTTTATATCCGATTATATTGCATTTATACAGGGCGTCTGGGATCTTTCGGAAGCGAAAAATTGTGAAGATTAATCAGATCAAACTGTGAAAAAAAGTTATTAATGATTGAAAATGATCACATCTAGAGGTTCTTTTAATGGATAACTTGAAATTTTACGTACTTATTTGCAAAATGGTAAAGGACCTTTTTGTTCAGAATGACCCAATCTACAATTATATAACAGCTATTGTGTCTAGCGATAGATATATAAGTATATTGAACTTTGAATTCTGAATCTTGTATCCGTCGCTAGACACAATAGCCGACATATAATTTTAGATTAGGTTATTCCGAACAAAAAAGTCCTCTACCATTTTGCAAATAAGTGTGAAAATCATCAAGTTATCAATTAAAAGAACTTCTGATGTGGCCATTTTCAATTATATATAACAGTTTAATAACTTAACAACTATTGCAATTTTTGCAAAATGCTACTTGACTGTTCTTCTCAATGATTTTATCTGATTAATCTTCACAATTTTTTGTCTCCAAAAGATCCCGGACACCCTATATATCTATATTTCCCTATTATATAAAACTGTTCCAATGCCCAGCGACGAGTCGTGAGTACGAAAGTAACGATTTATTTCCGCACTCGATGCGTCGGAGAAACCATACATCTTCTTCGGTATCGCTGTCGATTAATTTCGAATATTTACAATCGACATTGGCGCTTCTGAAGAAAGCATCGCCGGCGCGCGGATCGCGCGCGCGCGTGTTCACACGTCGGCGGCCGCGCGGTCGTTCGCATCGAGCCCGGTGAACGGTGGACGACGAGCCGCGCCGGTTAAATCGGGACGGAGAGCGAGAATCGGTCTCGGACAGCGGACGCTAATCGAAGACTATCGTTATGGGAAAAAGTCACGTTCGTGAGCAATGTAATGCGGCGTCATTAGCGCGCGCGCACGGTCCCCCCGCTGCCCTCTCCTGCCGTTCCCTTTGCCGTAGCGCAATGAGCGTATCGTGACCCACCTACCAACACATTCATCTTGTCCTGACCTTTCGCGGGGAAAGGTATCTCTGGCGGCTTTATGGGACAAACATGACGAAGATCAAAAGCACAGGCCGTGTGTAGAGTCGCGCCGTCGCCGTAGATCGCGTCTCCTCGAGCGAGACGTTCCGAGCGCGGCTGTGTAACCTTTCGGTGTCCTGTGCTCCTGGCCGGATACCAATCGTCCCGATTACCCCTTTCAACCTGTCCATTGCGCGATATCCGCGAGAGATAAGACGAGCCGGCTATTTTTAACGAGACCTCTGCGTCTCCGTCGCGAATTTAATGAGGTAGTAAATTTAATGAGGAATAAAATGTTGATCGCGCGGAGTGCACAAGTGTATTTATTATTGATCGATCATACGTACGAGTACCAAAATCGTGAAGGACACCCGGTGCCAGTAGTTGCGAAAATTCCGAAAATTCGATGAGCAATTCGATGAATTCGATTGACATTTACAACTTGATTTTCTGCTGGAGACTCAGCTTTTAGCTCGAAAATGCTGATCCAGTCTCGGGACAATCGGATGTAAATCCGACACGACAATAAGCAACACCGCGAATAGATCCTCGAATCAATCAATGCAACGAAAGTAGTGTAGCGACCTTTTAGTCTCGGATAAACGACGAGTAAACAGAAATTTTAGAGAAAAAAAAGAGCTGAGCAATTGACGACGCAACTCGCGTGTTCCAGTTGTTGGTGGCCCTGTTCGGACTCGCCCACGGCCAAGGAGACTACTTCCAGGTGCCGGAGAAGGTCCTAAGCGAGTCGCGGGATCTCGGCGACAACCGCGGTCATTACTCGTTCTCCTACGAGACGGAGGGTGGCATACTGCAGAAAGAGACCGGCAGCCGCAAGTACGCCGGCACCTCCGACGAGACGCAGCTGATCCAAGGCTCGGTGCAGTACAACGCGCCGGACGGCACCCCGATCGCCATGAGCTGGACCGCCGACGAGTACGGCACCCAGGTGTCCGGCACCCACATCCCGACGCCGCCGCCGATCCCGCCAGCGATCCAGCGCGCCCTCGAGTGGATCTCCAAACAGCCCAGCACCCCGGAGCCGATCGAGAAGGACAATCCGACGCCGAACGCGGTGCCCCGCGACAGTCGCCAGTACCAATTTATTCCGAATAAACGAAACTGAGATGTAACTCATGCCGAGTAAAAAAGGAAAAGAAAGAAAGAAAGAAAAGAAAGGAAGGTCCCGCAGCCGCGGTGGCCTTTCCCTCCCAGCGACCCTTCGCACTCTCTCTCTCTCTCTCTCTCTCTCTCTCTCTCTCTCTCTCTCTCTCTCTCTCTCTCTCTCTCATTCTCTCTCTCTCTCACTCTCTCTCTCTCTTGCCATTCCACGCAATGTGACGTGCAATAAATTTGTATTTTTATAGAAAACAATACCGAGGAGAGTGTCTCAATCGTGTTATTCAGTCGAGGTCGCGTTGTTTCTCACGCGCGATAGATTTTTATACAAGGAAAAGAAGGGAGGAAGATTGTTTTTCAATCGTGTTCTCGAATCGGCTGTGGCGAAGGTCGCGTTGCTTCTCATGTATTAGTGGGTAGCCGACGTCAGTCGGAAGGTGATTGGGGAAAGCCAGGAACGAGCGGACATTCCGCCGTTTCTGCGTGCGTTCCGAGTAGTTTGTGCGCATGATCTCGCAATTTTATAAATAAATGTAAAGATTGTCTTTTTGTATCCTGTGAGTATCTTTGTTCTCGTTGTTGCGGCCGCGTTTCTTGTTGTCGTTATTTGGAGTCAGATGAATCAATCGAGTGAATTGATTAAGTGTATACCATTTAAATGTTACATGAATGATGAAGAAGGTAAGTAGAAAGGTACCACACTTTATCAAAAAAAAAAGTGAAACTTCGTTGTACAAGTTCATAAAAATTTCTCATTAGGCTAAAAACATCGCGGCGGAGCTTTACGAGTTTTCAAATTGGTTCAAAAAGCAGCGTTCGTTAGTTTGGATTTAAATTACAAATTTTTCGTATCTGACGTTGGAAATTTAGATTTAGAGTGATTTCGAATGAAAAATTTATGTATAAAGATATTTATACGTAATATTTTGGATTGTATGATAAGCAATTTCGAATGTTTCAAACGAAATGTAACAATTGCATTTTTATGTCGTTGTAATCTTCTGAAACAGTGTCTGTGCAAAGGATAATAAAAAATCGCAGATTAAAACAGTGCATGTGTCATAAAATTATAATGATATGGTACCATTTCATTTTATCTGAAAAGTTACTGAAATTACTTATTATACGGTCGAATAGTTTTAAGTTTCCAGACTCGTAACATTTTTTGAATAAAAAAAAAATGTTGAATAACATTGATGAGGCATCCTTGGAAGAAAAGTGTAACGAAGTAAAATTCTTTCAACGCGAGAAATGACCATCTGCTCGTTCGTCGTCGTGAACAGATCCTTGAAAAACTCGGCGAGTCCTTTAATGAGCACGTTATTATACGTGTCGAATATCACGCGACGGCTAATCGATAGGGACACTTTTCGATTGGACCCTGCCATATCGCAAGGATTAAAGGCTATTTATATTGCACGTTGATATTGTTGAATTTGGGCCGCAAATACATAAATGCGCGAGAGATCTATCGGGATTTCTCGATATTTAATACAATGTGGACAGCAATGACGCATCTTTTCACACGTCGTGCGTTATCACGATTCGCTGATGCGAATGTTGTCCTCGTCAGCATTGCGCAAGCGATGCGTAGCTGTGTAATAGCTTGTTTTTGTCAATTAAATTCCGCGGTTCCTCCGAGAGGGCGCTTTCCTCTCCTCCGAAGCTCGAACACGAGAAACTGCTCCGTCGTCGTTTTGTCCGCGAGATTTGTGTGTCGACACCTTTCCAGGTGCTCGAAGGATGGCGAAATCGATATCCGCAATCGAACGACATCGATGCGACCATTCGTTCGCTCGTTCGACGATACGTACGAGCTGCGCCGTCGCCGCGTCTCTATAAAGCGACGGATCATAAAGGAAGTTCTCCTTGCGGCGCGGCGTTCGCGCGCGAAGAAATTCGCGAGTGCCGAACTTTCCCGCAACTTTACAGCGCTCTCGGGCGCTCTTATCGCCTCGTTAATCGCCGTCGCTCGTTAAAAGTACCGTAAACGCTACAATTAACGCAACCGAGTTCACGCCACTGTCCACCCGTCTATCCGCGTTTCGCCCTCGGACGAACTACCGAACGAATAAGCGAACGCCGATCCAACACACAGTTTGCATATTGATTGGAATTTATTTACAGCATATCACCGAAAATATTGCCCGTGTACAGATATTGCATAAAAGTAGAGGCAGAGAGAGAGAGAGAGAGAGAGAGAGAGAGAGAGGCAGAGAGAGAGAGAGAGAGAGAGAGAGAGAGAGAGAGAGAGAGAGAGAGAGAGAGAGAGATACACACAGAAAGGAAAAAAAATATTACAGATTCGAGCGCAGCAACGTATCGCAGAACTTTGTCCAGCTGCCAGGGGAGGACGGACACGAGCCCCAAGACTCGTCATCTACGCGGACATCGAGATCTTCGTCGATCACACGCGATCGGGTTCGCGCTCGACCGTTCCCGATCTCACTTCCTCCCCCGAGACTCTCCTCGTCTTCGATTCTTCATCCGTCTATCCGTCGAACAAACGTCGTCCTGTCCCTTAGTGCGAATCATTCTCCTCGGGGTGCTCGGCGATGTACTTGAGGGCCTTCTGGATCAGGGGCGGTACCTGGGGCAGGTGAGCGCCCTCCGGTTGGAACCCGTTCTCGTTGGCCACGTACGTCACCTGGTACACTTGACCGTCGTCGCCGGTGTAGCTGAAGCTGCCCCGGGCTTCGATGGCCTCCTCGTCGGTGCCTGCGTGATTGAGGTGGCCCTCCTCCTCGGCCTGGATGCCGTTACCGGTCTCGTAGCTGTAGCTGTAGGAGCCGTCGGGACTCGGTCCAGTGTGGGACAACTTGACGATGGGGACCGGCGGGGTATGGTCAACGGGCGGAGCCGTCAACGCCGCCGTCACCGCCACGAGAGCGAACAAAGCGATTGCCTAGGAATGCGGAAAAGCGTGAGGTCCTCTCTAAGGTCAACTTGTTTCGATGAATTCGTCTGTTAGAGGGAGAGAGAGAAAGAGAGAGAAAGCATGTCGAGACGTCGATGATAAAAGTCACCTGAAGCTGAAGTAGTTGATTTTTGTTGTTAACCGACACGATTGTCTCTACTCGTCGTCAAGCTGTCACGTTGGTATCGCAGTTTACTTATATTTTATATGATTCGATGGTACATGTGACGTACCTTTCTTCTCGACGAGTTTCGTTGTGGAGGAAATTTGCGACGACTCTGGGAATTTGCACTCGTCCGAAAGTTAATCGAGAGGATCAATGCGTCGCGATTTTGTCGAGACTGAATGCCTTGACATTGATCTCGGATTTGTTAAAGAAGTTTTCTGTCTGAATGAGAGGCCCGAGTGAGGGCAGATTCTGTGATTTAAATGAGCTCATGTGGGAATATTACGCGGCAACATTTGTACCTGCTGGCTCGTATTGGCCTTGATAGCTTATATTTATATTTAATTTCTTCCGAGAACACAAGTTACTTTCTGTTTTATCTATTTATCGTTAGCAACGGCCAATCACAGTCAGCACGTAGCGACTGGATGTGCACTCAGATATCGTGAATGTCAATTACTCGAGAGAAAACGGCAAACAACGTCGTAATCATTATTACCCTTTTCGCGTGTGAATTTCTACTTTACGTTGCGAATATCACAATTGAGAAGATTGCAGTCTTCGTCGCCGTTTCCTCGAGTAATCAATATAATTATGAATTAATACAAACAATTACGGAGTTATGAATGATTATATAACGTGAGAACGTCCAGGCGCAATATGAGGACGGCTCGAGAGCCGTCCTCTAGAGACTGAAATTCCAATGAATGTTCGAATGTTTGTCGCCTGATGCGCATCAACCGGTTAAATTTGTCGGCGGAGACCGTATCGATCGTGCACTCCGTGGCAAGTTTTACAAGCGCTCACACATTGAGCAGTTATTTAACGAGGCATCAGAAATGATCCTATTAACGACACAAATGTACAGTTTTGAGCACTGAGAGAGAGAGAGAGAGAGAGAGAGAGAGAGAGAGAGAGGTCCTCCTCTCAGAGGATCTCTCTCTCTTTCTCGTTTTCGGCTAACGTGAGAATTGACAGTACACGATTGTCCGAGAGTCACTCGCTTTCGCGTCACGAAGCCACTCGCATTGCAAGAGAGAAGAAAGAGTGACAATCGACGGTCGTACAGGTGTCTCTCATCTCCGTCGCGTTACGCAACGAGCTCTGTGATTTTCGCACGAGAAACTGGAACTCACCAAATAGTTCATGTTGAAAAATAGATATTATTTGTGCTAGCTGCTGCTCGGAAGCTTCTCACTGCACTGACTTAAGATCTCGTGCACGCCTTCCGCTTTATATATCCTCCATCCGAAGATTCGGGGACCTTCTGCTAAGGTGATACCTTATTTAGCCCCCCTCCGTCCCCCGCAGGCCCCGGTCCCATCCTCCCACTCCGATTGAGCTACAGCGGACGGTCCAAAATTTGCGGATGAACGCGCGTACGCACACACTCTTGCAGGACCCCTCGTGTCCTCGGGAGGACTTCAAATCTGAGGTCACGCCACGGTGCCTAAAATCGCGAAAGGTCGTCGTCTGAATTTAGCCAAGCTGGCCACTCGCTCGTTTCGGGGGATCTCCGATCGTTACGGAGATGTGACGATATTAAATGTGCGGCTACTTGCAAATAAAATGAAACCGGCCGTGCGCTTGTGTATTCGGCAACGGCCGAAAATCGCGACGGCGCCGGCCGCGTTGATTCCGTTTCTTCCCTCCTCATCTTTCTTACTCTTTTTCTTTCTCCTTTAAGGGCGCTCGCGAAGACGCGTCCGTGTGCTCCACTTAACGCGGATACGCGACACCATAGAGAAGTCTGTTCTCTCCGGCTGGACCGCAGCGCTGGAACTTTTTGTTCCTTTTGTCTTCAACGACGGATTACACACCCGTTTTACTCTGACACTCCAAGACACGGAGTCGCAAAAAATTGAGATCGTCTTAGAGTTTGCTGCTTTCGGACGAATTTCGGAGGGAATGAAAACCCTGAGATTATCTCTCTTCACGATTTTCCTCCGTAATTCATCGAATAGTATTCCTGTCTTTCTCTCGCTCTCTCTCTCTCTCTCTCTCTCTCTCTCTTTTCCTCCGCAAAAAGATACAATCTGATGCAGCTGAGAAAGGCGGACGGAAAACGTATGCACGGTATCGGGGAATTTTTGCATTTCCGGTTAATAAACGCGCGACCTCGTTTGCTCGCCGTGCGTTTATTCTTATCGATCGTCGCGATTTGCATTCGGAAGCTCCATGTGACGCACTGCGCTAATCTCGCGCACGGTGCATTTTGATTATCGTAAGCACTGTCTGTTTACAGGAGGGAGGGAGGAAGCGAGAGAGAGAGAGAGAGAGAGAGAGAGAGAGAGAGAGAGAGACAGAGAGAGACAGAGAGAGACAGAGAGACAGAGAGACAGAGAGATACGCTTCGAATTTCGCTTCGAAAAATCCGGCGATTTTTCGGGAAATGACGATGGTGGACGTAAAAAGAAGAAAGAGAAAAAAGAAGAACACCGAATTATTTCACTCATTACCACCAATCGGCGCTCGCTCTTTCCTCTATTCGGCTTTTTAATTCAACCGCGCCGACGTAAGAGATTATACATGCATGCGAAATAATATGCGACAACGCGCACGTTTCAATCATCATTTCGATTCAATCATCGTCGATTTCGCAACGCGGAGAATCACACAGCTGCGCTTTCGTGCAATTTTTAAATGGCTGTTGCCAAATCCATTTCACCCTGAGCGGCGATAAAAATGTCGGGGACGATTCGGCGATCCGCGGTAGAAAGGTGTTTAAAATGTGGGCCGTAACTCAACGTGCTTCTAGGTAAAACATCGAGATAAGAGAACGAAGGTAAAAGAAGAAGTAAAAATCGATTTGCAATACTTTGCCGAGCGAGGAGAGCCGTGACCGAGAATTAACATTCAGGGGCGATTCCGCGCGTTGCGTCAGTGTTTTCTATTATTTTTATCTTCGGACAACAAGAACTTCGCTTCGCCACACCGCTACAATCGATCTCTTTGAGCGACGAATGATCGTTTCCACCCGCGAATTTCGCGCGTTCGTCGTCCCGTCAGATTACGATTAACGGAGAGTAATCTCAACGGACGTTTCTGGAGAGGAATCCGCTCGGAAAGCGACTCTTTCCTCATTATGCGTGGTTATTTCTATCTTCTTTTTTTTTTTTTTACAAGAATGCAGAAAAGAGGAGGATTCGCGCGCATAACTGCCGCTATAAACGGATGAAGTCACGGTGGAATTTTTTTTCTCCTTCGACGCCGTAAGAAGATGCAGCCAGGTACGACGACGATGATGATGATGATGAACGTGTCATTGGAATGTAGAAAAAGTCAGATACACGTGTTATAAAGGACAAGGTGCGATCACATCGCGCAGATATCCACATATTCATGATATGTTAAAGCGCCCCATGTGAGACGCGCGATTAATGTAATCCAGCGCAATCGACTTGCCCGTTGGACCGTCATCGCCGGCGGACGTTCATTAATTGTCGCGTACTCGTGCCCCCGGAATCCTGCCCGGGCCCCGGGAAGTACTCGTCGGCGAGCGTCTCACGGATCGTGTCGTCAGCATGAGCAGCCGCGTCTCGTAAGTACCGCTAATTTTCTCGCGCAGCCGAGTATCATCGCCTCTTCTTGCTACAGCCGCGCGATAGAGAGCGAAGGAGGTCATTAGGTCTGTCAAAACTGCCTACCCGGCCTGCCTGCCTGCCACAGTTTGCAAGTGTGAATACGCCTGGTCACTGTTTACAGATCGTTCGGCGCCGAACGGCATTATCTCCACGGCGTGAATTTTCATGGCCGAACGGCTCGCAAAATAAGCCAGCCGGCGTAGCAGGAAGTGGCCGCTCGCTGTCGAATGCAAATGCGACCCGTATATATTTATTTCGCTGGGAATAACAATGCTGAATACGGTAAAAAATATATGCGCGAGCGCGTTTAACATTTTTCACGCGATCCCGCTTAATATCCCTTATCGCGTCGCGTCGCGTCGCCTCTCGTTCCCGATTGTCATCATTAGCATTATCCGCGAGTTTTGCTCGCCGGCGTATGCGACGTCACGGAATCGAAGTTTCCGCTCGATAACGGCGCGCGTTAGACACGGGGAGGGGGAGGCAGCGAAAGGGAGAGAGTTGCGTAAAAAAAAAAGAAAAAAAAGAAAAAAGCGTAATGAAGAAATGGTCGATTGTGTTGCTCGTCACGAGAAGGCACACGAGTCTCTGATTAAAGTCCGCGAATTCGTCGTGCGGTCGAAAGGATCGAATATAATGAGAGATTAACGCAATACCTGCGAATCGTGTGGTCATCGCTTATGGCGATTTTTAAATCGATTCATTAATAAATATTATTATCGCGCTTGACGCGCTTACTTATTCATGAATTTATACGTGTCTGCGTTTATTTCGCTCGCTTATTTATTCACTCGTGTATATTTGATGCACCTCTTTATTTATTAATTCTACTTGTAGGTATTTATCCATTACTTTGCCAAATGTGATTGTTAATTGCGTATTGGATCTTGGTCTAATTCATTTGCTCGCGCACTTGTCTCTAGCTTAATGTTTTATGCAATTTCGTTTATTATATTTATTTTTAATCCTCCGCTACGTCCATTTTCCTTGCCATGTTTCGTTCCCTCCTTGTGCGTCCTGTGTACGTCCTTTTTATATAATTAAAGGGTACTTTCCCGTTAATAAATATTATCGTTATTATTGTGTAAATGAAAAATGGCGTGTAATAGGGTGAAATATTTCAGAACAGAAGCTTCGTCTTATTTTCTTAGCGATCGCATAGCTATACCGTGCGAGAGAAATTACCCAGGCGAGATGAATTTTGCGTTATCCCGTATGATTTATAACGCGCGTCTCGACGTGGACTTAATAATATTATTTAACGTCGGCGACTTTCAGTTTTAAGTAACTCTCGCCCGCGGGGGTCATCGTCGCTTAACGGCGCTTCGAAGCGCGTGCGAACACGTGCACATCTGCACGTTGCGTTGCATTAAACGGTGATCGCCGTTTATGACGCCGATATCGATTGCATTGATGCGCGCGTCAAGTGCAACCAATCGCGTTCAGAGAGTCTCAACGAGCCTAGCACATCGACGCGCGGATGCGCGCATGTGTGTCCTTTGAAGTTTTCCTCAGCGGAGTAAACGCACGTCCGATACGTACAAACTGCGGAACATTTGCCTCAGACAGGAATTCGCGAGAGAACTGAACAGCTCAGTTCTGATATTTTTCATCACTTTCACAACATATTAAGTAATGTCCCGATCACATAAAAACATTCGAAATTCTGCACGAGCAATACATAAACTTTGCAGAGAGAATCAATACTTGGTCCCTCCCCAGAAGATTCCAAAGGTGCACGACGAGCCTGAAAACTCTCTCGAACGAGGCAAACTCACACGTTAAGCCGGTAGTCTTCAACTCGTCTTTCGCAAAGTTCACGCCCACGCAGGCCCACGCGACGATAAAGTCAATCACGGATGTCGCGTCTGCTACCTCTAAGAAGACCCGCCTCCTTGGCATCGGGGAACGCGCGAAAAAGCAGCGTATTTTACATCTGCCGAGAGCGACGAACGATCGAGCGCATGGCTTAAAAATGTCCTCAATGAAGCCGCCCAAATTAGATGATCCGGCACGATGACAGGAGACGACGTGTCGCCGCGAATTAAACGCGAAAGTCGGCACGTCGTTGAGCAAGCCATTACACGTTACGGCAAATTTATCTAACGCGCGAGTAGCCGCGCGTGAGCGTTTGTTATTTATTCGAATCGCCGTTATTTACCGTCGAGGTCGTACAACACGCCGCCGGCGGGCATTTATCATCCGCCGCGCGGCGGTTACCGCCACCCAGATTCGGCGAAACGCTGTGCGTGTGAACGCGTGCGATTTCCATCCCGGGCCCGAAAGCGAGAGAGCCTAGGAGGCCCAAACGGGTCCGAAGGTCGGGACCCGCCGCGCTTCATAATGCGTCCCGATAAGCGAAAAGCCTCGGCTCGCGCTCGCCCGTCACAATGTGTGCGTTTCGTAATGAAATTGGACAAGCGGCTGCCGCCCGCCCGCGTGTGTCGCGTTTCTAATTTCCAAATTAATCGCCGCTTCGGCCGTGCGGCATAGCTGCGCGCGCTCGTTAGCCTTATCTTATCGCGGAGCTCGCGAACACGTAGATATACGCGTGTTAAATTAATCTTCTGCGTTTATATCGCGCCGCAAACGACGACGGCGACGACGACGACGACGACGACGACGACGACGACGACGACGACACGTCGCTGCAGCGCGCGAATGTATATTTATGCGCG